TACGTGAATAAAAAAAATAAAGCAATAAAACATAACTTTCATTCAGCATTCGGGTGGGGCGGATTAGGATCTTTATCCCCAGGCCTGACGGGATAGCCAGATCTTGAGGGCGGTGGTGAGGGTGCGAATCTCCACGGGGAGATCGTTCCAAAGGGTCGGAGCTGCTACTGAGAAGGCTCTCCTCCGCATAGTCGCCAGTCGGCACTGACTGGCGGATGGAACTCGGAGGAGGCCTAATCTGTGCGATCTAATAGGTCGAAGGGAGGTAATCGGCAGGAGGCGGTCTCTCAAGTTTATACATGAACAGTGCAGAAATGACACCATCATCAACCAGGACCCATTTAACTGAAACATCATAGCTATTTTCAGACAGAATGCTTCTCGTGGAAATAATAAATAGTTCATGTATAATGAAATGAAAAGTATCACCATGAAATATCTCGAATATATGTGTACAGAAATAACTGCCTGTTATTCCTCATCATTCAAACTGCACCCCAACGAAATTATTCCAACAATCACCTTTGTGCCTGGTTCTCCTTGTGGCCCTGGCTCTCCCTCTGGGCCAGGTGGTCCCTGCATTGAAAACATATAAATGAAATTATCCGTTGTCCAGCACTAAATGCTTTCCAACATGATGAAACTCACTAGGAGGTTCACAGGGCTTTTTTTTTTTTTAAAGGAGGACTTATTGGGGTGATTAATTAGTTACTTGTTGTATAGTATCTTATTCTACTATGGTGCAATATCCAGTTTTTAAATTCCTCTATACTTTTTACTTTGATGCAGCAGGATCTTCAGTTTTGCTTGTCTACATCATTTGGTGATGTAAAGGACTCACCTCAAAGCCAGCTTCACCTACAGGGCCAGCATCACCTTGTTCTCCCCTCGGTCCCTTGTATCAAACAAAAATTTATGTGAGCATTACATTCTTATTATGAAAAAAAAAACTACTTTTATACCAATACCTGTAACATCAGCTGGGCAGTTTTTGAAGACGTTTTTACTCACAGCTGGATATTTCCTTTTTCCAGGTTCCATTAGCTTCTGAGAGTAGAATAATTTAACATGGTCCCCATCCTTAAAGAGGATTTGTTGCAACAGTGCAATCATCATCAGGCAATGGAATATTTATCAACAAGGCTTCTTACTAGGAGTAACATTACATTTGAACCGTCCAAACATGTAGCTCCATATTCAGTAACATGCTCACAGCACAAGTTTAGAGACATGACATAGCTGTATTACAGAGAAGAATGTAGTTGTATACATGTAGAAACGCTACTCTCACATAACTCAATCTGTATGTATATCTCTGTGATCTGGGGTTTAACTTCGAGGCTTTCCTCCTGTCTTTTAAAGACAAACTTGACATTCTCTGCAGAGAATGGGTGGTATCCATCTGCAAATTGTCCTGCCAACTTCCTTCATTCTTTACACCATTCATGGAAAGGATATAACTTTGAGGATTTATGTACTTCTGGACTACAGTACAAGAAATAAGGATAAGAACTGCCTCATGGTAAGGCTCTGAAATAAGTTTTCAGAAGCCCATGGAAGGAGTAGAGGTTATAAAAGAAATCTCAGTTATATTTGATACAGTAGCCTCAGCATGAAAGTTGATGTCTACTAAACTTGGGGTTTCCGGCAGTGCCTTGAAATTTCCAGCTTTGGAGTCCACAACACTGTTCCTGATACCACTTGTATCAGCAAAACCAGAAACTCTGCTAGATAGCTATGGCAATATCTATCTAACATTCCCTAGGATCAAGTGCTAAGGCAGATCAGGCTTGGCTTGTTCTTACCTTGGGGGCTATATGGGTTTACTAGCCTGGATTGTTAAAAAATCCCAAAGTTAGCAAAAGCATACCACTTCCATAGTATCTCAAAAATTGGTGACTGCAGGCATGGACATATCTCTGTAATCACCAGGAACTGACCTTGATTTAAAGGGAACTATCTTTAGTTTAATATATCGATTTTATTTCAAATTTCATATTCTTTTTGCTTTATGCTATGTAATTTCAACCAGTTTTTGTTAAATACATATGAAAGAGGCCGGATCTTGATTTTGTTTTAATGGATTAATTAAATTCTGACGGCAGATTCTCTGATTTTGAATGGAGAAAAGAAAAACATGCATAGTAGGACAAATAAAAGTGGCACAGAATTCTGAATCTAGGCAATGGTTTATATCTGTAAATCTTAACAATAAGATTTTTCTGAAACTGAAACTGTTTCAGTAATTTTTTTCATATTATCAGCCAAAAAAATAAACCCCATGTGTAATAATTGCCAACAGGCATTCTTGTGAGGCAATGAGCTAAAGACCAATCCTTTACTATTCCCAATGGCACAAATAAATAATACACTAGATTTTTGAAATTAAAGGTCAGTGGAGACAAACTGCACCTTTCTGCTGGTGTCCTAATTTCTCTTAGATTGGTTTGAACAATTAGCAGACAATACTTGCCACCTACCACCAACAATGTATAGCCTTTTTGTCTAGGCTAGGAAATTTAGATGCTTCAACAACTGCTTGTCATAAAGACAAAATATCTGAGACCAAATTAATTATACAATCACACCAGCTAACTATAGAAACCTGAGACACTTTAGATTAAATCCTGATCTTGGAGGGTGTACATTTGTGAACTGGTAAAATTGCAGCACAGAAGGTATGTGTTATATTATTTATACTTGATATAAATGTACTACAGTTGAGTAATCTTTTGGGAATAAAAGAAGGTCTCATATGGGTTCTCTATAAGCAATATCTGAATGATGAAGTAAAAGCTGAACAGAAAAGGCCAGAAAAGGGATTTTTAAAAAAATAAATGAATGCAAGTCTTCCTCTCTCAACCACTTTCATGATTTTCAGACTTTCACAGACATGTTTAAGAGGACAATCTTCCATCTTAAAAAAATAAAGAAAGAAATTACTTTATTCTTTAGAACAGAGAGACTTACTAAGAGCCACACAGTTTCAACCTAAATACAAAGGTGCTTCTTTAATATATCTTTAATTACAGTATAACAAGACACATGTTTTCCAAGAAATTATATTTCACATTTCAAATGAAAGGAAAGGAAATCAACTTACTGGTTCACCCGAAGGACCTGTATCTCCTATACCTCCAGGAAGGCCAGGCAAACCCTGAAAACACAAAACCAAAACCCTACTTAAATTTTACGTCAAAACTTCATAAATTGACCAAAATGCAATTCATAAAACATCTTCAATGACACTTAAGGTTTTTTTTAGTCCAATAATTTTGTTTCTACCATTTAAGGACTTGTGATTTATGAATTAGTAAATAATTTGTTTTGGTGAGCGGTATCCTAAATCATCTTTGAAAAGTTAAGATATACAAACTAAAGATAAAATCTTCTTTATCTGTGAAATAAACTACAGTGAATTCGATGACACTTACTTTGTTGTAGTTATATGAAGGCATACCATAAATATATATGAAAAATGACAAATAACTGCTACAGTCTGGATGGCCTTCTTGTAGGATCATTTAGGGACGGAAACGAAAGAATGGCCAATCTTTTTGACGCTGCCTTTTCATGTAACAAATCAGAAAATATACCACTGAAAACAAAAAAGGAACTTAATTTTAAAGCTTAGCAACATTAAGATATGCTTTGAAAAAAATATTCTATATATCTCATTTCTTGTATATGGCAGACATCCAAAGTACTATTTCCGTGTCATTCAAAACTGATTCATGTAAAATGTCATATTGTTTAAGAAGTACGATACTATCCTCCAGAAGCATGGCTAGCTACATTGTAGAGGAAATGTGTGTGTTTTTCATTATGGTAGGAAACTATCTAATTACATATGAAGCATTCCCAGTAGCAGTTCTAACTCTGCAATGCTTTACCCAGGGAGATTTGCTGACGTCTGATTAATGCCATTTCGACACTAGACAAAGATATTTTCATTCATACAGGTATTTCAAATAAATCAGAACACGTTTATCTTTTCAATGCTGTAAATTTATTCGGGCACTTCATATTTTTATGACAGACTCAATTTTTCTGTTTTACTTCAGCATGCTTTTAACATTTTTGTCTAATTTTGGAAAATTTAGGTTTTCTTGGCAAGGTTTTCAGAACTCATTTGCCATTTCTTTCTTCCTAAGGGTGAGAGAAAAGATAAACGTGTTCTGATTTATTTGAAATACCTGTATGAATGAAAATATCTTTGTCTAGTGTCGAAATGGCATTAATCAGACGTAAGCAAATCTCCCTGGGTAAAGCATTGCAGAGTTAGAACTGCTACTGGGAATGCTTCA